TTTTCCTTTTTTGTGTTGTCCTTATTCGGTTTTGGTATTAGTGTAATATTGGCTTCATAGAACGTGTTTGGTATTGTCCCTTCCTTCTCAATTTTTTGGAAGAGTTTGTGAAGGATAGGCACTAATTAGTCTCTGAATGTTTGGTAGAATTCATTTGTATATCCATCAGGTCCTGGGCTTTTGTTTTTGTGGAGGTTTTTGATTACCATTTCAATTTCGCTAATTGTAATTGGTCTGTTTAGGTGTTCTATTTCTTCTTTATCTAGCTTTGGGTGATTGTAGAGTTGTAGGAATTTGTCCATCTCCTCTAGATTGTTGAACTTGTTTCCATATAACTGTTCATAGTAGTTACTGATTATTCTTTTTATTTCTGCTGTGGCCATTGTGATTTCTCCTCTTTCATTTATGATCCTGTGTATTTGTGCTTTCTCCCTTTTTTCCTTTGTGAGCCTGGCTAGGGGTTTGTCTATTTTATTTATTTTTTCAAAGAACCAGCTCTTGGTTTCATTGATCTTTTGGATTGTTTTTTTAGTTTCAATTTCATTTGTTTCTGCTTTGGTTTTTATTATTTTTTTTCTTCTACTGGTTTTGGGGTTTTTTTGTTGTTCTTTTTCTAGATCTTTGAGCTTCGAGATTAGGTTGTTTCTTTGAGTTCTTTCTTGTTTCTTGATGTGAGCTTCTATTGCTATATATTTTCCTCTTATTACTGCTTTGCTGCATCCCATACATTTAGGATATTGGTGTCCTCCTTGTCATTCAATTCAAAGAATTTTTTAATTTCTTCTTTGATCTCCTCGTTAGTCCAGTGGTCTTCCATTAGTGTGGTTTTTAATCTCCATGAGGTAGGATAGTTCCTTGCCTTCTTTTTATGGTTTATTTCTAGTTTGATGCCTTCGTGGTCAGAAAAGATGGTTGGTATGATTTCAATCTTGGTGTATCTGTTGATGTTTGTCTTGTGCCCCAGTATGTGATCGATCCTGGAGAATGATCCGTGTGCGCTTGAGAAAAATGTGTACTCCGTTTTTTTTGGGTTTAGTGTTCTGTAGATGTCTGTTAAGCCCAAATGCTTTAGGTCCTTATTTAGAGCTTTGGTTTCTTTACTTATTTTTTGTCTTGTTGATCTATCCATTGTTGATAGTGGTGTGTTGAAGTCTCCCACTACGTATGTGTTTTCTCTGATGTCTGTTTTCAGAGAGGACAACAGTTGTCTGATATATTTTGGTGCTCTTTCGTTTGGTGAGTATATGTTAATGAGTGTTATTTCTTCTTGAAGTATTGTCCCCTTGATCATAATGTAGTGACCATTGGGGTCTCTTTTTATTTTTTTGAGTTTGAAGTCTGTTTTATCTGATATAAGTATAGCTGTTCCTGCTTTCTTTTTTGGCCCATTTGCTTGTAGGATTGTTTTCCATCCTTTGACTTTGAGCCTATTTTTATCTTTTGTAGCTAAATGTGTTTCCTGGAGACAGCAAAAGGTTGGGTTTTGTTTCTTAATCCAGGCTGCAACTCTGTGTCTTTTTATTGAAGAGTTTAGTCCATTTACATTTAGAGTTAATATTGATATGTTAGCATCTGTATTTGCCATTGTGTTTGTCTTTCCTTTGATTTTATTTATTTATTCTTTTAATAACTTTTTTTTTTGGTCTTTTTTCGTTGTTATTCGTCCCTCTGAGGTTCTGGCTTTAGGATTCCTTGTAGTATTTTTTGGAGTGGGGGTTTAGTTGCAATGAAATTCCGGAGTTTCTCTTTGTCTGGGAAGGTCCATATTCTTTCTTCATGGAGGAAAGAGAGCTTTGCGGGATAGAGTATTCTTGGTTGGCATCTGTTTTCTTGGAGTCTGTTGACTATGTCCCTCCACTCTCTCCTTGCCTGTAGTGTTTCTTCAGAGAAGTCTGATGTCAGCCTGATTGGTTTTCCTTTGAATGTTATCTGTTTCTTCCCTCTTGTCAGCTTCATTATTTTTTCCTTGTCCTGGATTCTTGGGAGCTTTACTATTATGTGTCTTGCTGTGTTTTTCCTTTCGTCGTGGAAGTTTGGTGTTCTTCTTGCTTCTTGTATATCAATTTTCAGCTCCTTCTTCGCATTTGGGAAGTTCTCTTCAATTATCTCCTGGAATATTTTCTCTGTTCCTACATCTCTCTCCTCTCCTTCTGGAATTCCTATAACTCTTATATTTCCTTTCCTCATGGAGTCAGATAGTTCCCGGAGTCTTTCTTCATTCTTTTTCCTTCGTACTTCTCTTTCCTTTTCTGTTTTGGTTCTTTTTATTTCTGTGTCTTCAAGAGTACTTATTCGTTCTTCCATTTCATCTATTCTGCTTTCATTGCTTTTCCCAGAGTTCTTTAGTTCCTCCATTAATTCTTTGATCTCCTGCATTTCTTTTACTTCCCTCTTTAGGGACTCAATTTCATTCTTCTGATCTATCACTTTTTTAATCATGGCAATTTTAAATTCTCTTTCTGAAAGGCTCAGAAGTTCTTCCAAGTTGCTGTTGTTGCAATCTGGGGAGTGGTTTTCTTTTTGTGGTGTGCTTCTTTCCTGAGGCGTTGTTAGGTTGCGTGTGGTTCTTCTACTCCCTACTGTCTGTTTTCTAATTTGTCGTATGCGTTGGGACACTGTGTTGCTCGGACTGGCTGGCATCTTGGGTGAACTTCTCCGCTCCCCTCTGGCTCCTGCAGGAGCCATGTCTGGCTTCTCGGGGAGCTTTCTGATGGTTTTAGGCAGTTTTTACTGAAGAAATGTCCCTGTTTTATAATGGCGAAGCGGGATGCAGTCCCTGCGCCTCTGCTCTCAGGCACACTCTTCTGTGTGCCCGGTCTGCCCCGGACGTGGGTGCCTGCTCCCTCTGTGGGCTCAGACTGCTGGTCGGAAGGGGCCTGGCGTGGGCTAACTTCCCGGCTGGCCACTGGGTCCTCCAGAAGCCTTCTGCCCTTCTCAAGCAGTCTTAAGAAATTTACTGTTCTATGGGGTGTTAGTGACTTTTTTTTTCCTGGTCGCTAGGTGGCGCCAGAGATCTCTCCTATTGTCCTTGGGGGGCTGTTTTTCGCCTCCCCCTACCCTGTGGGACAGGGAATAGAGCGGGAATGGTAGGGTAAGCCTCAACAGCTTTGGGGTGCTGTGTCTGCCTTGTGCCCCACCGTCGTGGAGAACCCACGCCCCGAGTTTTCGTTAGCTGTGGAATCTTGATCAAAATTATTGAACTTCTTTGTATGTCAGTGACCTTGTTATAAAAATGATATTCATATTTGCCTCTCAGGTATTTGTAATGAACAGATATAGTAGCAAATATAAAAATAATTGGTAAACTATAAGGGGTGTTATAGAAATATAAAACAATGTCATCACAGTGATAGTGCTTTCTAAATATTGAAGAACTTTTTGAAACTGTGAAGGACAATCAAATGGTAGTGGTATCAGGAAAAGAATGGGAGTGTTAAAATTGGCATTTGGATTTCTATTGGGGCTGTGTTAAGTGGGGTGTTATTAGTGATATCCTCTGTGTAGTGATAAGTAGTATATAGTGGTTTGGTGCTTGAGACCTTCTCGATAATATTTTAAAAGTTTTGACTATTATTTTCTATCCTTGAATACCAACGATGTGTATGGCACTTAGATTATGAATGTACAAGTTAAGGGGTAGAAGTGGCAGGAGAAGTAAAATTAGTAGCCAATTCATTGTAAGTCATTCTAAGTACTTCATATAAAGAAAAATGAATATTTTAGGTTAGAATAGATGAGGGAATTCATAGTTAGAGTGGGAATGGGAGTAGCACTAGTATTTTGATGGTCAAAAATGATCTCTCTGAGTGTGGCAAAAGCTGGTAGGGGAAGGATGAGAAGGAGCCAGTCATGTGAAGGTCTAGAAGAAGGACGTTCTGATGAGAGAAAACAGTAAGTCATATCTGTTCATTTTATTTAAACATGTCAGAATTTCTAACAAGGAAGCAGGAAGTGGGGTAAGCATCATCATAATCACTTCTTTTCTGTGTTGAAGATATGCGTGAAGGCTTAGTACATTTTAGAGAATTAATAAATGTTCTTCTCTCATGAAAGCTTAAATACTTTTTTTGAGTTAACATAACTATCTCAAGTTTTTGGTTAAAGACCTAAAGAAAAGATTTTGGTATTACTTTGCTATTTTATTCAATTGTTTTCTCTTTCAGTAAAAATTTTATTTACTAATTCAATAATAGTAAAATTCACCATTGAGTTTCTTTGCTTAATAAATTGTTTTATTCCACCTTTTGTGATAAATCATCAATATTTCCATGGAAATAATATGGTATTGTGAATAGTAAAAGAATAGTCTTCCAACTGAATAGGCCAACATCCACCACCTCAGACTCCCTTGCTGCATATAATGACAAATTCACATAGCACTGAGAAGAGTCTGTGTTATCTGAACAATGATAGGCAGGTTTAAAGTTAAGATGTCTCTGTGAGATTAGGTTGGCAGTCAGTCCGGGGACCAGCAACCATGATAGTGCTGGCTCCTAGAAGGCTGCATAGATCCTGTCATTGAAGATTCCAGGACTGAAATGAGCAACAATGAGAGTGGTTCCAGTGGCAGCAACAAATCTCAGCACAACTTGCTGGCTAGTGTTCCTGGAAGATATGACACTGATATCAGCCAGTTTCAATGACAGTACAGCTCAAGCCACCTATGGAAGCTTCTTGCAGGTTATCTTCAAGTTTGTGATGTAAGTACCATCACATTTCCTCTTGTAGATGTACTGTTCCATTTGGAAGTCAAGGTTAGTGGTGCGTAAGTGGGCTCCTGCTGCAAGGAATGTGAGGATTTCCTCCTCCTTCATTTTCAGGCCTGCAAGGGCTCCAGACCTTGTGAAAGTTTTGAAGGAAAAACATTTGGGGGAGGGGAATATTTGTATTTATTAAAATCATAAGAAACTGAGTAAAATTACAAAAGTAGTGAAAACAAAAACATTCATAAAATAAATAAAGTAATAGCAATGATCCCTAATATCAAACTTTGATTAAAGGTTAAAGAAGGAAAGAAGCACAAAAGTAGTGACATGAAATTAGAAGACGTGTCTGATTCTACTAGTGTCAGCAGTGGATTAAATCAACAAGCAAAGAGTGGAAAAACTGATAATCAGCACTGTTCTATTGTAATGACCAAAGATCCTTATAGGTAATAAGATTTTACTGTAAGTACTTATTATTTTTTATAAGTCATTCAAATTTGAGTGAGTATCATCATTAACAACTTCAGTTTTTTACTAGAGATATCTAACTTTGCCTGGTAGTCATAAAATGCAAATTAACATTGAGACAATGTGTTTAAAATCATAATGATAAGCACTTTATTAAAACAATAATAACAAGGGTTGACAAATGTGAGGGGTAAGTCATTCCTACACTTTGATAGAGGAAATTGGTAAATTCATTTTGAAGGGTAACTAAGTGGCACCTTTCAAAATTTCAAGCATATTATCTATCTTGAAGTAAGTGCTATAGGTACTTTAAAAAATAGGGAAATTTAAAGCAGCAAAATTAGAAGGCAAGGAAATACAACACAAGACACTGAGATATCAAGGGACTGTGTTTTCATAAGGAGAGACATATCCAAAGTTCAACCACAAATACAAAGAAAACTTTATCTACTTATCAAATACAGACTTAAAAATTGTCATGATAAAGAAGTGGATGAAAACATGGAAAGGCAAGTCAAAGTGAACACAGGAACTTAGAAAAGCTAATCAAAGAGATAGAACAAATGTCATGAGAAATAAAAATAATGATTTAAATAAGAAAATAGGTGGCAGGGAAAGGAAGGACTAGAGTCAAAATAAGGGGGGGGGTGCAATTGTATGGAGAATATAACCAAAATGAAAATGCATACATTGTGCAAAGATGAAAAAAGATGTAAGAATTATATAAAATAAAATATTTAAATAAAAATAAAATATGTACCATATTTCAACCCAAAAAAATAAATCTTAAAAAAATAAATAAATAAGAAAATAACAGAATTGTAGTGTATAAAAAGACCAATAGAGGAGCTAAAAGTTTCTGGAGACAGCTATGGAAATAGATTAGACCAAGTGTGGAATGAATCAGTGGTCTCAAAGGACTCAGGTGGAAGAAGAAAGAAATACAAACAAAAGGAAATGAAGAACCATTTCAATAACTACTTGATTCCATTAGAAAAGGCACATAAGGATATTGGGTACTCCAGAAGAGGAGGGAGAGAGAGCAGAGAACTTATTTCAAAGAAATAATAGAAGAAAGACTTCGCAAACCTGAGAGAGGATTAAATTATACAAGTCCACAATGCTAAAAGAATACTTGGTTATTTAAATATAATGAGACCTACACCAAGTCACTATCAGGTGTGAAACTATCAAGACTGCAAGACAAAGAAAGAATTTTGAAAGTGGATGGGGAATAAAGACATATAACCTATAAAAAGTTACTCCTCCCACAGGCTTACAGCAGACTTTTCTGAGGAAATCCTAAAGCCAAGTGAGAATGGAATGCCATACTAAAAATACTTCAAGAATAAAACTGCCAACTCTGAATACTGTACTTTCAAGACTGTCCTTCACATCTGAAAGAGAAATGAAGGTCTTTGTATAGCAATAGAAGCTACAGGAGGTTGCTGACACTAGACCTCCCTCATAAGAAATGTTGAAAGGAGCTTTGATATTTAAATTGAAGAGAAGAAAATCCCCAAAAATCTAAATAAGGAAATAGAGCCAGAAAGCTAAGATAAAATGACAGTGACATGTGCTTACATAGCAAATACCTTAAGTGTAAGCCTGCACTCACCAACCAAAAGTTACAGAGTATCCAGTTAGACAAGAAAACAAAACCCAACTTTTTGCTATCTCCAGAGCGTAAGTGAGCTCCACAGATAAGCATGTGGTTGGAAAACAATCCTATAGGCAAGTGGGCCCTAGATAAAGTCAGTGCTAGCCATGCTTATATCTGATAAAATAGACTTCAATTTAAAACAGGTAATGAGAGACAGAGGTTGACATTATATAATGATTTAGTGATCAATACATCAGGAAGATATAGCCTTATCAGTATATATGCACCCAATGAAGGTGCATCAAAATATATATGATGACAATTATCAAATCTGAAAACAGACATTGGCAACCACAGGACAGTAGAGGTTACAGCAATACCTCACTTTCATCAATGTTTAGACCAAATGAGCTTGGATACAATAGCCATAAATGAGGAATCAGACCACAGAGGCTTAATAAGCATTTATAGGGTACTGTCCCCACAAAGCTAAGGACACATTCTTGCTACGGAACATGGAATATTCTTCAGGATACACCACATGTTGGGTCACAAAAGAAGTGTTAATTCATGAAGATTGCAATCATATCAATGTCTTCTCTGACCAGAATTGTATCAAATGAGAAATCAACCACAACAAAAATGGGAAAAACCACTAATAAATGGAGACTGAATAAGTTACTATCGAATGATTATTTGGTTAATGAGGAAATCAAAGAAGAACTTAAAGAATACCTGAAGACAAATGAAAATGAACACATGAGTATAACAGAACCTACAAAGCACTGACAGTGAAGTACATAGCAATACAGGCCCACAAGAAATATTTAAAATATATAATCTCTAACCTTATAATTAAAGGAACTTGAACATGCAAAATTAAAACCCAGGAGCAGGGTTTCCCTGGTGGTGCAAGGGTTAAGACGCAACCTGTGGGGCAATCTGCAGCCACTGCAGCATGAGTTCAATTCCGGCCAGCCAGGGAGCTACCCACATGGCACAGCAGACCTCTCCTGACTCACCCACTGCTCTGCTCAGCATGTACTTTGGTCAATCTGCCTGTTCTGTTCCCCATTCTGTCTCTGGTGAATCCTCTCACCCGCCATGCCTCTGGCCTGTATCCCAGCTCTTGTATGAATAAATAAATAAAAATTCAGAAAAAAAAAAAAACAGGAGAAATAAGGAAACTATTAAAATTGGAGCAGAAATAGACTAATAGAAACAAAAAAGGCAGTCCAAAATATCAGTGAAGCCAGAAGCTAGTTCTTTGAAAAACACACAAAATAGACAAACTTATAACTAGGTTTACAAAACAAAAAAAGGAAGATTCTTACTAAATAACAACGAAAAACAAAAGAGAAGTTGCAGTACATATCCCAGATATACAGAAGATTGTAAGATCATATGAACATATAACAAGAAATTGGATAACACAGAAGAAATGGAAAAAAATTAGAAAAATACAACCTTCCGAGACTGAATGAGGAAGAAATAGAAAACCTGGACAAACCAACTACAATGGAAACATTAAAATAGTTCTTAAAAGTGAAGGACTAAAGTCAAAATAAGGCGGGAAGTGCAATTGTATGGGGAATATAACCAAAATGAAAATGCATACATTGTGCAAAGATGAAAAAAGATGTAAGAATTATATAAAATAAAATATTTAAATTAAAAAAAAGGAAAAAAAAAGTTTTCCAAACTCCAAAAGCCCAGGGCCAGATGGCTGCGAAAGTGAGTTCTACCAAATATCAAAGATATCTACTACTTATCCTTCTCAAATGCTTCCTAAAGGTTGAGGAAGAGGGAATTCTTCTATGAGGCCAACATTACTCTGATACCAAAACCAGACCAAAACCTTCCAAAAAGAGAAAATTAAGACCAATCTCCCCGATGAACATAGGTGTAGAATACCTCAAGCAAGTGTCTTGACTATTTGATAGTCTTTGCTCTTTTAGATAAAGGCAGCTCTTGCAGGTGCTCTGTCATAAGGTTGGGTGTCACCTGCGATTCCTGTCTTTCTCTTTCTGTTGCACCTTAGAACTAATGTTTCAGTAAATCATCTAATGTCTAACACCAAAACATATCCACAAACCAGTGACATCTTTCAAGCTGAATCCAGATCATCTGATCTCTTGAGTAATGTAAGAGACTGTTAATATGTCTCTTTTCTCCCTTCCTTGTCACTCATCCCATCATTTTAAAATCAGTGGGCCTATTAAAGCATAAATCAGATTATGTTGTTCCTCTCTTCTCAAAGCACTCTAGTTGACTCCCAGTTCACTCAGAGTACATGCCAATGTTCGTTGAATCTCTATCAGGCCTTACCCACTGTTCTTCGCAGATCAGTTTCAATATTTCTATTGTAGTTTCTGTCTGCTTGTCTCCCTCAGTCACTTGTATTTGTGTATCATCTCCCTTCCATTCTTTTCCAGCCCCCTTGAATAAAGTTTGACTCTTCCTTCATCCTGGCATATCTCGGTACTTGCTGTTCATTCTAACTGGAATGCTCTTTCTTCTGAAAAAGCATCGGCATATTGCAAAAAGCCAAAACAATTGGAAAAGGCGTATAATCCTCATGCCCACTCCCTTCATTCCTGCAGTTGGTTCCTCAAAAGCCACTTTCTCAGTTAGATCTGCCTTGGCCATTCTGAGTCATATTTTGACTGCTGCACCCTCTTACAAACCTCCAAATTTCCTTTTCTGCTTTAGTGTTCCCTAACAGGAAGTGTATTTTCCATCTGGTTCAATGTCTGTTACTTCATTCTCAGGGTAGGAGTTTGGTTATTTCTCTTCCATATATTCAGTGTTTTCAGAGGGGCTGAAAATGTACTGCAACCTCGGGCCCTACAAGGTTCTAGGTTGAAACTCTGATATGTGAGCCTGTACACATTGCACCCGAGGCTGGGACTCCTCCAAGATCTCTTGGTGTATGAGACTGGAGAACTCAGCTCTCAGAAAGGGTTTTTTTTTTTTTTTTTTTTTTTTTTTTTTTTGTCCATGGGTGATGCCAAATTGTTTTTCTTCATAGGAAGACCTCAGTAGGTGACACATTTTTGGTCATGACCCTGATATCATTGCAACAAAAAGTTATTTTAAAGTAAATCCTTTGTCCCTGATTTCTTCCATCATATCACATTGCCTCATACTATTTTTCCATAAGTTGCACAAATTACTTTAAAAGCAAAGCTGGAACCACACTATAAATCAAATTACTGGTTCCATGTTAAGAGTCATCACACAAATGAAGTCAACTCAGATCTTTAAATATAACATTCAAGATGTTCAGCTGTTTCTAGGCTGACCCATTTCAGTATTTTACTTTGCCTTTCATGTTTAGAAAACATTTTGATAGACGTGCCTTGTTGTGCTCTT